GGAGGCCGTCGCTAGTAGGTTGGAGGCCGTCGCTAGTAGGTTGGAGGCCATCGGCCATCGCTAGTAGGTTGGAGGCCATGATATCAGGTTGGAGGCCATCGCTAGCAGGTTGGAGGCCATCGCTAGTCGGTTGGAGGCTATCGCTATTAGGTTGGAAGCCATTGGTATTAGGCTTGAGGCCGTCGCTAGTAGGTTGGAGGCCATCGCTATTTGGTTGGAGGCCATCGCTATTAGGTTGGAGGCCATCGGTAGTCGTTTGGAGGCCATCGCTATTAGGGTGGAAACCATTGCTATTAGGTTGGAGGCCATCGCTGTTTGGTTGGAGGCCATCGCTATGAGGTTGGAGGGCATCGGTAGTAGGTTGGAGGCCATCGCTATTAGGTTGGAGGCCTTTGCGACTAATGAGCCTGCAAGTGTTTTTGTCCAAGGATTTCATCCAAGCTTCCGAGGGCGAATCACGGCGGATTGATTCGCTGGAAGGTAGTATGGAGCTTAAACAATGCGAAGGCTACCAGCATACTTATATACTACATATGTATACACAGATGTATTTGCCTCTGCTCTTCGCCACTTTGTATTTCGCTAGACTCCCAGACCTCCCGCTAGCTTACTTTTTCTTTTGGATGGCAGATGTCTTCAACTTTCTATGATACGGTCAGGTGTTGAACTACTTTGGCAGTCAGTGAACGTGCTGATCACCTACTGCGGTGGCAACCTGTGCTTTACAATGCAGTACTGTACTGATAATATTCGAGACACATGTCAACCACATGATCACCTGCCACATATAAGTATCTAGATTCTAGATGCCATACCTCCGTTTGCAATCTGCATTTAGTCAGGTTGGAAGCAGGATGAGCTCTTTCTGTTTGGGTATGGTCAAGGAGGTAGCTTCAAGCACGAACACTTGTACTGCAGAACTTGCTTGCGAGAAGCTAAACTATTTTGAAGGCACCGTGGCTTTGGACACGGTCCTTGGGCTTCAACCTCAGCTGCCTGACATGTTGACAGCGCATGTCAGATTTGGTGTACTTTGCAACCTTTTTTCACAACTCGCAAGGCCATCACATACACCTTGTGGGTTTGGTGGGGTCATTGCTGTCATTGGCTTGGAGCCAAACGGAGTCCGCCCACTTTTCCTCAAAGAAGTGTGTTGGCCGGAAGTGATAAAAGCACTCAAAGTGACTATGAGTGGAGAGGTGGGATCACTTTCTGCTTTGTTGTGTGATGCTCTCAGGTTGCGAGTGAAGTACTTCCTGAACGAATCGCACATCTAGATGCAAGAGGAGGAGTCCAGCACAATGCTGCATGAAAACAGGAACTGCCTCGTGGTTGCAGGACGAGAAGTAGCCGTCTTACTCATAAATGGTGCGATGGACAGGCCTGTTGAACCTTACCTGTACTTGTACCTATCCATGCTGTGCTATTAGGCTCATCATACCTTGGGTCACTCCTGAGTCACAACCCCGAGCATGAAGAGTTTGACAATTGCACTGCCAAACAGTAGGGGGATGTCTATTGAGACATTCCTAATTCAAAACTTTTGAGGCTATGAACCTTCCTTTCCAGGCTTTGTTGTTTGCCCTGTGAGTTTCTGTACTTACTACTTACTGTACTTCTCTATGGTGATAAACCATTGGAGATGGTTTCTATCCTATATATATATATAACTCAATTCTGCCTGTGTATACATAGTTTTTGGTCTGTTGTGTTCCGCGTCTCCAAGTCTTGGCGGTTTCGCGGCGCACTAGACAGGGATGTCAGCAGAAAGGCGGCTGAAGCATCTGCGCAGAAGCTCCGCCAGGCTCAGCGAATAGTTGCACCACTGCTGTTGTCTGATATGCCTCCCTCCCTCCTTCCCTCCCTCCCTCCCTGGTTGTTGCTTTCCGATTTCCATTCTTGTTCCTTCCTTTAGTCAGTCTTTTTTTGTCTCCTCCTTCCTCCTTACTTTTCCAGTACAATATACACAGAGCAATAGGGTTCCTCCGAGTTTGGCAATCCTCTGAATGACAAGAGACACCAATATGATTTGAACGTTAAACATAGAAGCAGCTGTGGGCCTTTGTACTGAGGTAGAAGTACTTGCCAAAGTGGAGGGCTATTGTTTGGATGTCAACTCTCCATTGCACCTTTTCTGGGTCAACTCGCCAAGCCAAGTTACTCGCCCTTTAATCGAGCTTTGCACGACGCCAGAGGCGGGAAGCAATGTGCAGTAAAAGCCTCAGCAACATTCAGACGCTCCATTTTCCAACAAATGTTCTTCCTGACACTTCATTTTAGGCTTTGCGTCTTCTCAGATCGAGGGTCTGAGATGTTACGTGGATATCATGCTGAAGAGTCTTGGGCCCAGAAAGTATGTGTATTTGGCTGGAGGATGACCAGCTCAATGGATCAATTTGTTCCTCACAGCCAGACACGCGCATGTCCAAGTCAAGTTTCCCAAACAGTCTAGGAACCAAATGATCATGGCTGAGCCGTTCTACGTCCAAGATACTAGTACTGTAGCTACTTCGGGGTAGTAGCTTACCTGAATACTTACTAGTGGCTACTGCTACTACCACGACTACTACGACTACGACTACCACCACTACTACCACTACCACCACCACCACCACCACCACCACCACCACCACCACCACCACCACCTGTGAAATATAGGCACCCTATGCAATCGTTCGAGCAACCACATATCGTTTCGTTCGATCACTTGGAGGGTTCGGTCGCGGTTGCGCACACCGCTTTTGACCATGGTGCGCTACGGCGCACAAATCGAGAAGTGTACCAAAGCTGCCATCCGTACCGGTTGGCTCAAGGGCGACGCAAAAAGGAGTTGCTTCGCTTGGGAACGGCGGCCCGCGTGTCGACTAATCGCAGTCGAGCACAAATCGAGAAGTGTACTTCATTTGTTCTCTTTTCTCTGTGTTCGCTTTGCAGTTGAGGTTGAACTCTAAAAGGTGTGAGTTCTCATATGGTAGCGGAGCTCCTGTAAAGGAGCGTAGGACAGCAAGTTTTCTAGGTTTGTTCACAACCTCACATCCGTAGAGATTGAGAGCCATGGATGAATCTGGAACTGGAAATGCTGGTCCTCCCCGAGAACGATCCAGAGAACCTCGAGGCCGACCAGTGTCTCGACATGCAGGGCAGGACAATCGCCTTGGAGGAGGGAGTTCGAGTCAGAGACGCCTAGCATTTCTTGAAGATCAAGTAGCTCATCTAGCCGGCACCCTGAGCAGTTTAGGACCCGTCCTTCAACAAGTGCTAAGCCTTCAGACGAATCCTCAAGCTGGTGTTTCGAGTCAAGCACAAATGCCAATCCCACCAGCAGCACAGACACTTCCTCCAGAGAATGTTGCAAATCCGCCTGTGCAGCCGATCCCAACCGGAAACTCCATTCGCCCAACCTAGTTAGGTGATTCAACCGAATATGGATAATCCGAATGCAAACACACCGACCCGCCGGACATCCCTCGGCGTCTCGACGGGATCACTTCCGAATGATCCTTGGGTGAACCAAGACCCATGGCAACAATATCATAATAGTTCAGCCCAAGCCGCAGGAATTCCGGATCGCCCCTTCCCGTATAGCATGGCCAACAGTCCAGAGCAAGTACAGCCATTTGCCAGTCAGTCATCCAATCAGGGTTTCACCCAGGTTATCCCTCCACCGCCCGGGTTTCAGAATGTGAATCCACAAATGATCCCAATCCCTGTTAACACTCCTCAGGGATCAGCTCAAAAGATTGGTGGACAGAATGATGAAAACCCGTTCAAGAGATCAGAAAGGTGGATGCCACCTGTGCCAACTCCATCCTTCCAAGATTGGAAATCCAGGCCTGCTGAAATTGTGGGGTTCATCGAATGGGTCACCTCGTTAGCATCATGGACCGGACTCGGATCGAATGCGTATCCCAGCGAGATTCTGTCAGCACTGCGTGAAAGCGAGCCCTTAGGTTGGCACCGCCTGACTGCAAGCCAGGTGACACGATCCGTCCGGCTGATGTCAATACTCAAACTTTGCTTCGAGAACAGCGTCAATTCTGGATGGTTGTGAGTGGGGTTTCCTGCTTGTTCGCTGCAGGAGCAATTGTGATATGGGAGTCTTTCCCTCTGGCCTTTGAGCGCGTGAGCTGGTGAGTGTGGAAAGATTGCTGGCCATGGACATTTGATGAAGCATCTTGCATACCATGCCTCACGCATGGCACGAACACTCATGACATCCATGCACGTTCATGCCACGTGGTCTGGATCCTAGTTGGGCATTTTGCCCAAATTTGAACTGGGCGCTTATGTGGGACACTTAGCTGATTGACAAATGCAGCGTCGATGCAAATTCCGGCCATGGCAAGCTCCTCTTCCACACTCCTCAAGTGCCCTCTGCCAGTCTTGCTGAGTTCAAACCTGCGCGCGCTAGCTTTTTTTGACTTTCTAAGTTCTGAAGGCATTTGGCTCAGAGGAACTTCTTACTAGGTGACGAAAATGCCCCGACCTATGAAACTTTTACAGATCCAACCAAATGTCGCTGTGCAGTATGCCGAAGCATGGAATGGTGAAGGGATTCCAGCCAGAAACTCATTCTCCCGTTCAAATCTCATACGGTAAAGAGTGTGTGCTTTGTGAGGCCTCGTGGTCGTTCATCCAAGCGCACAATGGACATTTTTGGAAGGGGGTTGTCACTGTTCCAGATTTGGAACTCAATGACAAGGCAGGGCACTGTTCTATGCGGCCTTACTTAGAGTACATATTTGGTTTTGTTTTGCTGCAGGTTCTCTTTGGCGTTTTATCGACGACTCCGAACGCAAGGTTTTCCGAGAAGGTGGTTTCAGATGCTGTCTTGCGTTGGGCGCAGTTGGTAAAGCTAGTTCCTGCTGTGGGGATTTCCATGGATGTGGTGGAGGACTGGTGCAACAAGATGGCCTTTGGAGTGAAAATCTTGGTTGGACGGTTTCGGAAAATGTGGAAGGAAAGCCCTTTGACCAGTAGGTCACCAAAACTTTCAGTGCTCAAGACCCGGCTCAATGAAGTTGTCAGCTCAATTTCACCGATAGAACCGCCCACTCCATCCAGTTCCCTGTCTTCACCAGTTCGGAATGTGGAAACCCCGGTAGACTTTGTGGGGAAGCATTGTTTCCGTGGCTTACCAAGTTTGGAGGATGCTTTGGAAGAGGCTTGTCAGGAAGCACCGTCGGGAACTAGCACAGCTACACCTTCGACTTCCCCTGCCTTGAGCTCTTCGTCTTCAAAAACGACTTCTTCTGCGATGGAGCTCCCAGACTGGGTTCTGAACTTAGCGCCTGTGTTTCTCCCAAAAATTTGTGTTATTTTGCTGCTGGTTGAGGCTTTGAAGGCCTTGAAGGCAGCGCCCTGTGTGAAACCATTTGCCATCCATGTGGATGTTCAGGTAGAGGACGACTGTCCTGGAACTAAAGAAACCAAGCCAAAAAAGAGTAAGAAGGAGAAACGACCTGTGAAACCGAAGCAGGCCAAACAGAAAGCTGGCCAGAAAAAGGTTGCAGACATTTCGATGGATGATTTGGCTCAGTACGAAGTAGAGGTGGACGCCTTGGTTCGACAAGAGGTTGGCGATGTCAAGTATACCCCACAAGATTTTTCAAAGGCGAAGAACAAGTTTATCAAGGGGCTGCGAAGCAGGTCCGATTTGTGTGGAAAAGATGCCTGGGACCGTTGGATGATTTCTTCCCTTCGGTCAGACTTTCTGTCAACTCTTGATGAACGAGAGCTCAAGAAGCGTCGGTTCTGCTAATTGTGTTTCACAGCATTTTGGGGAGTGCAATGCAATTGTGTGGCCTACTTAAAACAAAACACTATATATAAATAACAATGTTCCTGTTCGTTGTTTTGGGAGCCCTTGCGTTGGCCCACACACTTGTGATGCGGGAAATCCTGCGTGTTCGATGGGGTCTATGGTCCGAGTGGTCCACAGCTTGCCCAGCAGCTTGCAACGACTGTTGTGGTAGGTTGTGCGATGTGGCTGTAAAAAATGACAGGTTTGCTCGATTTCCTGATTGCAACGCACTTCTCTCACATGGCATGTAGCAAAGCTTGGGTCAGACTGGAAGATGTCCTCCTTACACAGGCTTAAGAGATATGGTAGTTGCAGAAATGAGGTGCTGGGGTCTTCCCCCAGCCTTGATCCTCATTGTTTTGCTTTTGGTCCACAATGAAAAATTTATGGATGCCCCAGAGGACTGTGTGTTTCAAGAGCTGCCCTGCCGTCCCTTCGTGCTTTGCAGTTGTGCCGGCCAATCTGACCTGTTCCTCCTGTCCACCAGGACCGTGATTTTGCAGAGATCTTTAGTGGAGCTGGGCGAGTAAGTGAATCCTTGCGAGAGGTCGCTGCCTTTGTTCTGCATTCTATTTTCAAACAAATCAAGTTCACCATTTTTGAGGCCGGCTTTCGGGGGACCAGCTTTGACAAGGATCTTGACGCTGTCTTGGACATCACCACTTCAGGGGGCTTTCTGTTTGGTGCTCATTTGTTTGCAAACACAAAACCATTCAACTGACATTTGTTGTGAGGTCAGTTTTGCAGCAACTACGCCGAATCCGGCGTGGGGGTCTCGTAATGTGTGGACTTCCATGTGGAAGCTACTGCAACCCGCCCTTGGGCTGCAGATCAAATGGAAACTGAATGTATACTCTGCAAAAAACTCAACTCGATCTGCCCAGCACTTCTGAGGTGGAGCCTGTGTGCATCTGAGGAACCAAGGGACGCATCAGCGTTCTGTGTTGTTCCCGCTTGGAAACGCTGCCTATCAGTCGGTTGCTTTTGGAAACCTTGTGTGTTGTCGGGCAGTGCTGCTCCTGGCCTTCGCCATGTCAAGAAAGTTGAGGGTTTTGCTGGAGCAGCCCCAGGGGAGCAAAGCTGCTCTACATCCACGACTTGCTTGGTTCCTGGCACATTTTCAGGCCAGTGCCCTCTGTGCAAATCGAAAAGTTTGCATTTTTCTGTTTGGCCAGGTTTGGCGGACCAGGATTCTGCACGGCGTGTTCTCGCTAGATAAGCCCAAAGCCACAGTGGCTTTATTCGAACGATGAGACTTTACTTACCCGTCTCCACATTGCTGCGGGAGCCCTGCCGGAGTCGGCCAAACAAAAGTTTCCAGGTGATCATGGCCTTTGCAAAAGGGTGAAGACAGAGGATGGACGTGTAACGTGGACTGGTGACAGGGACAAGTTGAAGAAAAGTCAGTGCTTGGGATGAAATGTAGTGTTGCTGTTGCAAGTGTCTTTGTTGCCAAGATTTTTCCTACATATCACGCAATGGTTTTTGCGCTCAGGGAGTACGCCAAACCCTTTGCGGACCACCTCTCTCAGCT